TGCCTTTCCTTATAATGGCTTCAATTTTATCTTTTTCTGCTCTACTTAAGATAAGGGGCAACGTATAGTACACGGCTTATCACAAAAGCTTGAACTAATCTTAAAAGATTAGCTTTCTTCATCCCTGCATTCTTGCTAGAAATGCGCTTAAGCAGGCGGCACGTCTGGTTCGCACTAGCTTCGAGTCTCCGCATAGTTTCAGTGTTTTTTCCATTTGCTTGTATGCGCATCCCTAGAATTCTAATACTGTCTACGGTTGGAATAGCATTACCATTCACTCGCAAAGCGATGTCACAACCCCTTCCGAGGGGATTGTTTGTTTTCCTTTTTTGCGATGGTAGAAAAAGAGCCTCTGATTTTTCTGCCGAGCATTTTAACCCTAGTGGTTCGAGATATTGTTCGATGGTATCTATAGCCGCCTGAAGTGCGCTTTCAATATATCCTTCACTACCCTGTTTATCCACAGCGTCACATCGTCTCCGTATATTGTGTGATGCAGATTTTCGATTCCTTCCAACTTCTCAGGAAGTCCAATCATCGCTATAATAAAAAGAGTCGGAGAGAGTACAGACCCTTGTGGTGTCCCTTTATTCCCCAATTTAATGTTTTCGAGCAACTGCCCTCCCATGCCGATAGTGGCTGTCCGATTTGAGAGAAAGCCCCTCACGTAGTTGTATGTCTTGACGCCTACGTTTAACGCACTAAGGTTCTTAAGTAAGGCTTCATGTTTGACATTGTCAAACGCCTTGGAGACATCCAGACCCACAATTACTTTGGTGTCAACAGTCTTTTTGTCTATTATCTCCTCCTTTAGCTGTAGCATAATATCGCACGTCGATAGGTGGGATCTGAAGCCTATCATAGTATCAGGGTACAGGTTTTCATCTTCCATGAACCTAGTCAGTCTTGTTTGGATGACGTGCTCCATCAATTTTCCTACGCTAGATGTGATGGAAATGGGTCTGAGATGTTCAAGACTGAGCTTTTTCCCTGGCTTAGGAATGAAGACTACATTGGCCGTTTTCCAAGCTTGTGGTATTTCTCCCTTGTCCCAGCATTCTTGCATATAAGCTGCAAGTTGACGAATGGAGCCGTCGTCAAGATTCCTGAGCATTCTGTTCTTGATTTTGTCCGGACCGGCAGCCATTTTTGTTTTAAGTCGGTTGATTTCAGCCCTGACTTCTCGAACCGTGATGGGGCTGTCTAGGTCCGGGTTTTCTGAACCAGCGTAGTCAGGGAGCTTTTGAGATTCTGCGCAGCAGAGGTATCGATCCCTAACCTCCGTTAATAATTCCGTCGTCTGACCTTCATATTTATACTCAAGCTTTTGAAGTTGCTGTCGGGCCTCCGACTTGGTTTTCTCTGGGTCTAATAGATGCCGTAGTAGCTGCCATGCTTTAGCACTGCCAATCTCTCTATCCATCTGATCACAGATACTACCCCACTTTTGCTTGGTAAGTTCCAATGCATGATCTTTGATCTCTCTATTCAGTGCAGCAACTTCCTTTTGGAGATTCCTGTCTCCTTTTTTCTGACTAATTTTTCGCTCTAGGTTTTTCTTTTTCTTCCACATGCTTACAAGATGTCTATCAACAACTTCCTCATCGCCAGCGTCAATCTCTTCGGTAGCGTGCTGAACCGACTGGATCACCCCTTTACTCCAATCGTTAATATCATTTATGGGGTCTTGTTCCGACCTGATATTTCTAAAGGTCACCCAATCTGTAGTTTTAACTTTTCTCTTATTGATCACCAGCGGGCCATTGGCAACGATAATCTCTAAAATTTTATGATCACTACCTAGGTATTCGCCGGTATTGCACCACGTGGCGGCGGTGGCACTGCTGACCAGGGTAAGATCTGGCGTCGTGTCTTGAGAAACGCTATTTCCTTTCCTCGTTGGCTGCATTGGGTATGTTGTAAGTATGAGCCCATGTTGTTGAATTTCGTTCCACAAATTTCTGCCCTTAACCTGGGTGAATTTATAACCCGCATGCCGTATTATGCGCATTAAAGTCGCCCAAAATCAATAGTGGACCGTTTGCTGAAATAACCTTTGTTTTCGTGAAAAGATAATCAAAGTTGATTTTGCGCTGCCTGTGGGAACTATACACAATCAGGATAAAAAGACTCTTGTCTTTGCGCTTGCGAGGCACGAGTTCGACTAAAACATGATCGATCTGCGATTGTTCGCGGGGACAAACGCTGTTCTAACCACGGTTTGTGGGAACTGAGGTTGGTCATAACTGAGCGTGCCCGTGTAACGGGGGTATTAAACTCGTATGGCGCCCTTTCCTATTTTGAACTTAGGTGTACGGTTAATAACCCAAGGTGGTCTGAATTACAGTGCCTATAATATACTATATCTAAATAAAACTGGATGCGACCATCACGCTTGTTGCCGAAATTTAGGCGCGTGAAGCGCTAGGAACGCTTGTGACAAGCACGCTTTATTGCTGATGGCCTTTCTCCTCTTTCCGAATTATCGGTTATTTTGTGGAGCAGTGTTTCCTGACACCAGTGAACCGAGCGTTTTGAGGGCAAAAGCGCTCCGTTCACCTATGCAGCCGCCTAAAACCGAATTGACTTGAAGTGTATTATTAGGTGGCGTTAAAAACGTTTAGTTTAAAGCTTTTTTTTCGACGGTTCAGGTTGCGGAGTTTCTCACCAGCTTTCTAAAGTGGTGGTTTTGTGGAGGTTTTTTTATTCGTGGTGGGTGTTGGTTTTCACCATAGAGTTTCATACAGTAATATTGTATGAAACTCTATGGTTTTGACCATGAGACCAGTCGCGTTGCTTGAGAGTGTTATAGAAAGTGATTCATGTGAAAGTCGCTACCGATTTTGGAAGTTCCTGCGAAGTTGCACTGTTTACACGATGATGGGCAAATGGAACTTCATCGCGGTGCTCAGTAGATAACACCAAATAGCTCGAAGTGAATGTTTTCCATTTTGTGGTGACGGTGAACTCTGCTCTCACCGGCGGCGGGATTTTTGTTCCTAATACAGTGACATCATTTTGTTCCTAATACAGTGACCTATAACAGTGACATCAGTGGTCTACAGGCTGGCGATGCATATTATAAAGGAAAGACTGCAGGCATGGATAGAAGATGAGAGGGTGCTGGGGGAACTGCAGAATGGGTTTCGGAAACACAGGAGGTTGGAAGACAATCTGTTCTCACTGACGCAGTGCATCGAAATAGCAGAAAAGGAACACAGGCCCCTGTGGCTAGCATTCTTGGATATCAAGGGAGCATACGATAGTGTGGTTCAAGAGGAATTGTGGGGAATACTGGACACACTAGGCGTGGAACATGTAGTCACTAATCTTTTAAAGGGTATCTATAAAGGTAACAAGGTAGTTATAAAGTGGGAAAAACAGGTATCCAAGCCTGCAGAGGTAAAACGGGGGCTTAGGCAGGGGTGCCCCCTGTCACCCTTATTATTCATGATGTACCTACAAGGATTAGAGGCAAAATTAGAGGGAAGTGGGCTGGGCTTCAACCTCTCTTTAGTCAAACAAGGAAAACTGATTGACCAGGCACTACCAGCATTAATGTACGCAGATGATATAGTGCTAATGGCCAACAACAAGGAAGATTTGCAGAGATTGATGGACACCGCGGTAATGAGGGAGATAGGTTAGATTTTAGATTCAGTAAGGAAAAATCAGCAGTCATGATTTTTAATGATAGTGAAAGTAGTAAGCTTAGAATACAAGAGGTCACACTAGAGATAACAGATAAATACAAATATCTGGGCGTATGGATAAACAATGGGACCGAGTACCAAAGAGAACACAAAATATATGTAACGACTAAAGGTAACAGGAATGCAGCAGTCATGAAAAATAGAGCACTGTGGAATTTCAATAGGTATGATGTTGTGAGAGGAATATGGAAAGGGGTCATGGTTCCTGGTCTGGCGTTCGGCAATGCGGTCTTGTGCATGAGATCAGAAGTTCAAGCAAGATTAGAAATTAAGCAACGTGGAATAAGTAGGCTTGCTTTGGGAGCTGACGGGAATACACCAAATCAGGGAGTACAAGGTGATATGGGATGGACATCATTTGAGGGCAGGGAAGCTAGCAGCAAGATAAAATTTGAGAAGCGATTGAGAGAAATGGAGGAGGAGCGTTGGGCTAGGAAGGTTTTCAGCTACTTGTACATGAAGAATGTCGATACAAAATGGAGGAAGCGAACCAGGAAGTTGACTGGTAAGTACTTAGAAAACAGCAGGTGGCCAAACCAAAAAGAACTATCGGTTAAGAAGAAAGTGAAGGAAACGGAGACTGACATGTGGAAAATGGGCATGATTAAGAAGTCCGCACTAGAAATCTATCGAACTTTTAAGCAGGAAATTGCCAAGGAAAGGATCTATGATAATACTCGGGATAGTTCTCTACTGTTTGAAGCAAGGACGGGAGTACTGCGAACCAAGACATATCGGGCCAAATACGAAGGGGTAGGCATAGTATGCAGTACGTGTGGAGAGGAAGAAGAAACTGCCGAACACTTGATAATGTTCTGTAAAGGGCTTCACCCTATAGTTCGGGATGATGGCTCAGAGTTTTTCAAAGCACTGGGGTTTAGGGACCGGGAGGGCAAAATAGACTTTAAGCAAGTAGACTTAACTAGAAGGAGGTTATCTGATTGGTGGCTAAAGTCAAGGCACGAGTGAAAATTAAACTCTTCACTGCAAAGTACGAATTCTCAAACTCACTTTTTAAGGAAAAAAATAAATAAATATAGTTTTGGGTTCATTAGGTATTACGGCTTGGTGGCGCTAGCCACCACTTGATCTAAAGGATACAGCCATATCTATCCATCCATCCAGTCATACATTGCCTTTTATTTGCATTTATTTATTATTTATTGAAGATACAATCCCTGTGCGTTCATTGATTTAGGGATTAGTTGTAGTGTGTACTAAAACGCTTCTAGTACATTCATATTTGTTGGCTTTGTGTCGTTTTTGTGCTGCCCCCTAGGAATAGCGTGGCGGAGTTGCGTGACGTCAGTGCCAAGATCGCTCGTTGAGTGAACCGCTAGTGTTCTGTCTCTTGTGTTGTGGTCTGGCGAAGCGACAGAATTTTTGAGGATGTCATACGCGTACCTATTCAAATACATTATAATTGGAGATACAGGTAAGATCTGAGGGATGTTCAATATTTGCTTGCACGATTTCCTTCCCTACGGCCTGCTGTGCCCTGGTAGTGACGCGTTTTGTAACATGTAAGGTTCGTAATGCCAAAATGGCGACTCGCTATTACTCTAAACACCTCTTTATTCTGTATGCCATTGGGAGTGTCCATACTTCGAATGCTTTCTTGTTTGAGACGCAGCTGTCGAGATCGTTATTTTACATCACTGGCCGATATTTTTTCACTGGCATGTGCGAACGAGGGATAGTTTTAGCCGAGCAGTCGCGTGCGGAAGACGCTTGCAGGGGCTGTACTCTTCTTGTGTGTCATCTGGTCGCCTAGTGCACTCTGTTGATGATCGCCTCCGAGTTTTGGCGTACCTTAGTTGAGTATTGCTGCAGCTTTGGTATTAATAGTGAATGCGTTCCAGCCGTTTGAATGGGCATGCTGGGTGAATTCGATTTCCACTTTCCCTTTTCACTAACAGCTGTTGCGCATCACGTTAGTTTGTTGGTGCATTTCCGATAATGCGATGAGGAGCGTTGTGCTGCTTTAATGTTTGCTTCGCTTTTGTACAGGAGTGGGAAAGTCCTGCCTTCTGCTGCAGTTCACAGATAAGCGATTCCAGCCTGTACATGACCTTACGATTGGTATGTTCTGTTCTGATGCATGCATCTAGCGGTAGTAATTTGCGTTCTGTTTTTTTTTTTTTTACACGGTTTCTTCTTGTCTTGTAGGAGTTGAGTTTGGTGCCCGCATGATCACAATTGATGGAAAGCAGATCAAGCTGCAAATTTGGGATACGGTAAATATCTTTATGCATTAAATAATGCATGTTGGCGATTGAAGTGAGCATCAAATGATGTGTATGTTTACTTACGATCCCCCTGGACATATATTATGTAGTTAGCATATTAAAATGATGATGGCTTCAGTGATTGGCTGACATAGTCACTTGTATGCACTTAAGAAATGTTTTCTGAATTGTTCAGAAAACGTTTTTTAAGTCAAATGTGTTCTAAATTTGGCTGCTGTAGGACGATACTATCACGTTAACTGAATGGGATCAATTAAGTCCACTGTAAAATTAGGACTAGTTTCAGCGCTTCTTGGGGCACCTAGCACATAGTGAATATAAATTTGCTGCTCGGTATTCTTCAAAATTACTGTTTAGTATGACTTCTACAAAGCTATGATTTAAAATAGCAAGCTCAACATCTGTATTGTGCTCTAATGATATTTTTTAGTTTTTATATTTATGCAGAAAGTCTGCTGCTAGTGATGACTGGACAGTTAAAAAAAAAAAAAGGCAGCATTGCCAGTGCCTCTGTGGAGCTTTCTGGCATTGCATCATAAATTTTGCAGCTCTGTTTTGTCACTCAGCCTCTAGAAATGCATGAATATGGCAGGTATCACTGGATGAAGTTGGTTAACATCACTACACTGGTGAGAATGAGAAAGCTGTGGTTAATGAGCAAGTTTGCTTTCTGCAAAACTAACTCGAAGAGCTTGAACTTCATCAAATGGTCAATTCAGTAGCTGTTTAGCACAAAAAAAAAAAAAAAATGCTGCCCAGGCAGTCTGTATGTTTCTTTATTTTATTGGTGAAAAGAGATTTTTCTTCTTCCTTGCACATCTTTAATATCTTCGAATTTTTTGTAAATTTTAGTGGAATGTTGAGTGATAACCGTGATAACCTAAGACAGAAAAAAACGTATTTTGTGGGAATGCACATGGCATGCATGGAAATTGTGGAGGCACTGCAGTCTCCATTCAGCAATGGTTGGTTGTATATCTACAACGTAATGTGCCAACTTCAGGAGTGAGCTTGCTTTGAAGTGAGGAATGCATTTCTTAGTTGAATTAAAAGCAATTTGTATAAATTATATTCAGGCAATTTTGTTTTATTGAACTATTTCTGGAATACTTAATATGATCGCCTTTCAAGCCTTGGCACTGCTCTAGTGGACAGTTTTGTTGCTGCACTCAAATGAAACATGAATCTGGAGAGGTGCTCTTGGAAATGGCTTCCATAATTGGCCTTTAAACCATCGCCTCAACGAAGCACTGAAGGAAGCCTCAAGCTGACAAAACACTATGGTTTTCACATCAGTGAATCTAAATCACCTTGCCGGAGTTATGCTCAGGAACTCGCTTGTGGTAGCTCAGTAGCAGGGATGTCAAACGGCTGAACACCAGCTCATGGTTTTTGTGGCTGCATTATCAAAATGAAAGGTGTCTTGTACTGTGACTTTGCATGCACATTAGAATCCAGGCAATCTAAATTGGTTTATATCCAGGGCTTGCTACTACTGTATTCTTGAGGGGGAAATTGTTTTGTTCCATAAACTGCAAAATATAAATTTAAAAAAATTCTGAGCTCTGTGTCAGGTTTCACCAGTGTTCGTGAAGGCTGGAGCTAAAGCTTAACTGATGTTGGTGTTGTGCTGCAGTTATATAGCATTTATGTTGTCTCTGTGCTGTTTACTGTGTTGTTAAGCTCAAAAATGACGAGCTGATTTTATAAATTTATGAATTTTTTTTTTGCCAAAGAGTTAATATAGTTATTTTCGAAGTTTGCCTGCCAAGTAGTCAGAATAGCAAACAAGTGGAAATTATGTAGTGTAACAGTATGTCAACTTATCAGACCTTGTGATCTATTTGAAATTTTAGGTTGTTAAATTACTTAATTTTCAATATATAGATCAGTTGCAGAGACAGTATGACCAGCTTGTTACTGAGGTTGAGGTAAAGCTCAACGTAAGCAGTAATCTCATCATACTGTCTCTGTGGCTGGTTTATGTATTAAAAATTGTGTAACTCGCACAAAATGTATGCGCTCACACAGCAACAAAGCTTGTGTGTGACTGTTTGTCTTTGAAAGAATTGATTTTATGTGGGGTTTAGCATCCCAAAACCACCATATAATTATGAGAGATGCCAAAGTGGAGGGCTCCGGAAATATACACCACCTGGAGTTCTTTAATGTGCACCAAAATCTGAGCAGATGAGCCTACAGCATTTTCGCCTCCATGAAAAACGCAGCCGCAGCAGCCGGGATTCGATCACACGACCGGCGGGTCAGCAGCAGAGTACCTTAGCCACTTGACCACTGTGGTGGGGCTGTCCTTGAAGGAAAAAAGTGTACATTTAAGGGCTCGTTTTCTTTGTTAGACACAGTAATAATGAGATATAACAGGCAACCATGCTCAGAGAAGTATAGGGGGATATTACTAGAAGTAATTGGAATGAAAATGTAAAGAAAGAAAAGTAGACGAAAAGATAACTTTCCTCTGAATCAAAGTCGTACTCTTTACTGATCATGTGCAACCAACTAGCCGCCAGCACGTGCTGCCAATTTTCAGAGTGTTTAATGCACAGTTACTGACTGCATAAAGGATATGTCACAACATCTGACCCATACTGTTTGCACAATACTTGTGCAATGCCTTAGCATATAAGAATGGGCATTTTATGCTAGCTGCCATTTGGTACAAATGAGAAGAGAGGGTGTGTTACATAAAATGAGACGTTGCTTACATAAAATTACGTCTCCATAAAAGTCTAACTATACATATAATTGTCAGCATGTGGAAGCAAGCAACCATACACCTTTGGAGTGCTGGTGGCATGAGCACATAAATCTGTTAATTGGGCTACGCTGTTACAGTATGACTTACTTCTGCAATGGCCTGGCTGATTGACAGCCAAAGCAAGATTGCTTTCCATTCCTGTTAGTGTTTATCTAAAGGTGTACTGAATCATTTCTTGGGCTTAGTATTCAATGGATGCCGACACAAAATTTCGTGGCTGAGATAGCCTGTAGAATCTATTCCCATGAATATGTGCATATCATCTACAAATTATCACGAGCTAACATAGCTTAGAAAGTATTTTACATGATTTTTTGAAGTTCTAGTTTGCATTATCCTTTAACCTTTTTCCTACAGAGTTATTTGGCCGAAAATGATGCACAAATACTGTTTTATTTGCCTGTTTCATTTTCCAATTTTTGAAACAACTAAAAGAACCTATTCTCAACATACGAGGGCAATTTTTTTTCGATATGTCTAGGATTGACTGGACTGTAGTGCACCACAAAAGCTACCCTTACCTTTATAGTCTTTGATGCTGAAAATGTCTGAAATTTAAAAAGGTTGTATGCAGGGACAAGGTAGCTTGTGAAAAGAAGCATTGGAAGCACTGGTTGGTTTGATTACATTTATTGGCATTTCCTGCCAATGTGTTGAGACACAGTCGTCTTCCGAATGTAATGATTTCGAAAAAATATGCTGTTCTTTGTAGTCTTTGCCACACTTGCAGGAAAACTGAAATTTTTCGTTTTACTAAACTTGGGCAAATAAACTTTTTTTTAACGGAGCTGTTACTAGCAAGCATGTGCCACTGAACAGAATTTTTGAATCATGATTACCAGAATCCAGTAATTGTTCTACTGAAATGCGTGCTTTGAGTGTGTTCGAAATTTTTTGCTGGATCATCGGTTCATGCCAAAGAGAATTCAGCAAAAGGAATCATGGTAGCGCTTAACGGTGATGCCGCCGAACACTTCTCCCAGTGTGGACGAGCTTTGCTCATTTTCGGTAGATATAGTACAAACCATATTGATGAGCTCAGCTCTTGTTTGGTAGGGAAAAAGCATGAGGGCCCTGACACCAAAATGGAAACCTTGAGGCTGCGTTGATTGTCCTCTATACATGGGTACTTCTGAGGAGATCATTAGTGACCGTTATTTTTAATATATTTTAGTTGGCTTTTAAAGTAAGTATGAGTGCTCATCTAAATTGGCAGCACCTTGCAACATCACCACTAGTTTGATGTAGACAAAGGCCCTGTGTGACGTCCTTCTGCAAAAGCTAGTATTGTTGACATTTCGAAAGGTTCATAAGGTGCACAAAATACCACGACTGGCACCCAACCCTCGCTCTGTTGTCAGGCTGCTCTTTAGGTTGTTTTTGATGCTTACACCACGAATGCTTTTTCCTGAACAGACATGCTCTTTCTTAACAAGCTTAACTCATACCGAAGCACCCACATCATTTTGTTCCCTTCTAAGTGCGGGGTCCCGCATAGAGATTCGAATACTCCACAGTTATCTCCACCAAAGCTCAAGTGCATGTGGTCTTAGGCGTTCCCCCACTTGGGGTGCTAGTTTCTTAGTATTAGCTGGGTGTTTTTAATTGACGCTAAATTTGTCACAGCATTAGTTTTACGATATGTTAGAGTATTTACAATTCAACTTTGGCATCACCAGACACAGGACAACACATTTCGATAAAAAAAGTCACAAGCAAAAACTTCACTGTCAGAGGTCCCACAAAAAAACCCCTTTGAATGTGGGATAGTTAGGTAATGTAATTGTGAATATTTTTTGTAGGGGGCATGTTAAATCACACTGGGTTAGGGCATGCAGGTGTGTTGCATGTCATTTTATGTGATTTTTGCCATGGAAGACTGAAATTTTGACAAGCAAACAATGCTTTTTGGTTCACTCCTCGCTGATATGGCACCTGCCAGGGTGCTTAATTCCTTCCAACATCTGCACGGGCTCTGGGTTTAAAATGTGCCCTTCTCGATTTCACCAGATTTGTACTCATGTGATGAAATGGTTAGCTATGGTGACATGCTAAGTTCTTGGAAATCAGCGTGAGTGCTCTCAAGGGACATGAGAATTTATCACAAGTGATAATGTTGGCATTTAATGTGTGTAGATTTGGAGCATTCATGGTTTATTTTCATGAATACGGGAGTCGGAGCTTTCATTGAAGCAAGGAAATCAGAAACACA